GTTGATGCGGCCACGTCGTTGGACGCAACAATGAGTTGCTCGGGACTGTTTCGGTCTGAGATGACTCCATCTGACGTCTCAATCAGCGTATTAGTCGAAGACGCGACAGCCTTTGCGGCCGAAATGAGCCCCTCAGTCCAGCGATTGTTCTTTTTGTAGAAAGCTGTTCGTGAGGATGATCCTCGTCCCGCCTGGACGATCTCTTGCTGGGTGACGGTTGCCGCCTTGATGAGTCGTGTGATGGCATTGGTAATGGCCATGGCGGCATCCAGGATAGAGTCGTGTACTTTCAGCTCGTACGTGGAATAGCCGTCTCGGGGTTTGTTCTTGAGCTTGGCAAGACGGGCTGCAGCTGCAGCAATGGCGTCGGCGGCCTTGCTAAGCTCGGAATCGACCAAATCTCCAAGATCTCCCTTGTTGTTTGTGAGCCTGCCGAAGCCGGGTGCAAATGCTTCAACAAGTTTGTTGAGCTTCTGTAGATTCATCTGCACGTCGTGATTCCTATTGATAACCACATCGATCTTCTGATCCGTGTCTAGTTCCTCCAGTCGAATACTGAGCAAGTTGCGGAAGAACTTGATGCTAGATTCCGCCGATTGTCGTGCACCGTTCATCAGAGAATCCGTCTTCTTGTCATCAGTTGCTAGTCTACTAAGACCCTTGGTGTTGCTGCAAACATCTGCAACCGCCCCTGCAAAGACACTGATCGCCTTGATGAGCTCCTTGTGAGTGCTGTTTGGACCATCAGCGATGAAGCTATTAAAGGCGGTTGCAAACTCAGTTGCACTGTCTGAAGCTTTTTCGATTTGGGACAATACGAATGACGGCGAAGCATTCTGGTTACCAGCTTGCATGGACGAGTCGAGTTCATACAAGGCATCGTCGACACGGGATACCCCAGCTTCCAGAACGGAATCAATGATAGCATTGATCTTGTCAAGGTTGGACAAGATTAGAGCGTCAATTTGTCCATCCAAAGCATAATCTGTCTCGCCCTGATTCTTCTCAAGGTCGTTCAACTTGACCAGCGCTTCATCCATGCCAGCCTTGTAGACCTCAAGCTCTACTTCCTTGTCTCGCAAAAGCTGCTCAAGGTCAGAGTTCCCGTCTCTCATCCTGGATTGCGAATCTTCCAAAGCTCTGGACTTGTTGCGAAGAGCCTCCTCCAGGTCGCTCATCTCGCGATTATATTTGGCGAGCATTGTCGACAACTCGTTGCCCTTGCTGCGTTCCAAGTTGTCGGCCCGGTCTTGGGCCATACGAAGCTCCCGCTTGAGCTTCTCAACTTCATCTTTATTGCTGCCGCTGAGTCGATCCTTGTCATGGAGAGCCCTGTCTCTCTCACGAATCATGTCGGCCAACTCGAGGTTCTTGGTCTTGATTTCCCGCTCCAATTTCTCCCTTTTGTCGATAGCCTCCTGGGCGCTGGCGGCCTTCAGTTGAACCGCTTTGAACTTTTGCAGAAGATCCAGATGCTCATGACGCAATTGGGAGTACAGCTTTGCAAGTGATTCATACTTTGTCCTCCAAGTATTGACCTGCTCTTGCAAGGCTCGGATTTGATCATCCTTGCTCGTAATTTGTTGGCCAAGGCTGTTCTGGATATGCGCCAGCTCTCCCTCCAGGGCTTTCACTCGCTGGTCATACTGCTGGAGCATCAATTGATCCCGCTCATACTGCGCCCGAGCATTGAGGTTTTCTCGTTCCAACTCGGCCAAACGACCCTGTGTCTGCCACTGAGCCTGCTGCGCCAAAAGAGCTTCCTGCTCTCGCTGCTGCTGCTCTGCCAGCCGGCGTTGCTGCTCCTCAAAATCGCGCTGTGCCTGTTGTTGAGCTTGCTGCTGAGCTAGTAACGCCGCCTGCTGTCTCTCTTCAAGGACTCTCTGCTGTTCTTCATACTCTCGGTTCTGGCGATCGAGCTCGCTCTTCCAAAATTCAGATATCTCGTCAGGTTCCTGAGACTTTGGCTCTACAGGAGGCGTCGGTTTTCTTTCTATTTCTTGCCTGGGCCTGGCAGGCAGAGCCGGAGCTTCATCGTCATCTGCGAGCAGGTTAGGGGGATCTTGGGGCAGCTTGGGAATGGCGATGAGGCTAGTAAGATAACGGAGGTTCGAGCATTCGTAGTAAAACTTGACAAGCCGATAGTGCTGAGCGTCGTACCTTTGTCGGAGAGGCTGCAAAGCTTCGTCATCTCCCGTGACTGGCCACCACGTTAGCAACATAACACATCTGCGAAATCGGTCTAGGAGGCATACTCGAGTGCATGGCTCGGAGCATGCTGGTGATAAACTTGTAGATGCCGTAGCTCTCCTGCACAAGCGGTACCAAGGCAGAAATACGGCACTCATTGTTGCCGACGTTTCTGAAATGGGAGAAGATCAATTTCTGAAATTGTTCAATCTTGTCCTGCAAGACCATGAGATCGGTGATGGTCTCGTAGCCTTCATTCGGATCATTGATTGCTTTCAAGCTGAGGTACTCTTCGTATTCAAACGTGCCGTTGAATTCAGGATGCTGCTGGTGAAATGAAAGCTTTGCAAGCAAGTAATAAACATATTCACGAATCAACGGTCCGTAGCCACGGATTCCCTCACCCGTCATGCCACGATTCAAACCATCGATCCATCCACGGTTGGCCATGGCTTCCTTGATAGCAGATGGGTGGCCTTCCTGGAGGACCTTGTGAATCGTGATGAGGGCTTTGAATGTCTGGACCTCATCGGCAAGAATGGGTTGCCTGTCTCAGTCGGTCAGCGATCGTGGGTGTCGCAAAGCAGCTGCCGGGGCACCATACACTTTAATTCCAGACCAAAAGGCCACAGAAGACCTATGGTCCCAGGTGTAAACAATGCATGCTCTCACATGCTTGCGCTTCGGGGATATTTCATCGCTGTTGGTCGCCTTCTTGATGCTGATGGCAAGCTCTTGGTCTGTCCTGTAGGCAACCACTGTCAGAATACGCAAAGCGACGGGAGAACGAAGGTCGGGGGGTTGGTACAGGGCATGACATACTTGGTGTGCTCCGTGGTTCGTAACGAAGTCATGATTGCAACCGTTCCGGAGAGCTCTCCAGCTGTTGGAGCTCTAATAAGGGGTGCAGTGCGTAGTTAGTCTGTCGTGAGGACTCAAAGCACTCACCCCACACACGAGTGAGGCCAAACACGCGGATCGTACAGTACAGTCGCCGAGGTGTTGATTTCGTTTGCGAAGGTCTGAAAAATGAGAACTTGGGGCCAAAATGGGCCTTTTGCCGGCGCCAAGCAGAAGTGTCTCGTTTGCTGTCGTGTCTGCTGTCGTCAGCCTTGGATGATGCAGACTCGAGCTCCATAACGGAGTACCTGAAGGCGACAGCGTCACAGGGCACCATGTGGGTCCATCTGTCCCAAGTGTTCGCATTGCCTTCAAGCCTCGTTTCATTTCTCCATTGATGCCAGCCGCCTACCCTGCAGCTTCCAGAAGACGGCTCGACGATGACTTCGCCAACTCCCAGGTTAATCAGTCATCATCCTCCCAGAGACATCACTAGATCAAGTGCTCTGTTCGACGACATTCTCTTTTGTCTGGTTATCTGATCTCAAATGCATTCTCTCACCTCTGTCTGGACGCACCATGTATCTACTGGCAAAATAATTCGTGCTACCCAACTACGTCATTCTCCTCCCATGTGCTTCATCGCCTACGGGTGAGAGATTATTTGCAAGACACCAGTTGCATTAGACTCAAAAAATTCCCGCTCGTCGTGTGCAGGTCAGAAATATTATGTTTCCAGGAAGCAAAGGGAATACTCGAAACACGCCTCACTTGAATACCGCTCCAGCCGCTTCGAGTCGGTATTGCCGCGAGGGAAGCCCCGTCTGTGACTGTGTACTATAGGTAGCTGAATCCTGCATGTTTGCTGCAAAACTCAAAGCCCGCAGGTTCGGTAAGAGAAGGTGAAGAAAAAGAACGACCTCTAAATGATACTGATGGGACGCAAAAATACAACACTTAAATATGTGAGCTTCCCAGTCGTGTCATGTCAGAAGCAAGTTCGCCACCAATCATCGACCAACACGACTGATCCCCCACAAGGTTTTTGAAATAACAAAAGCCTCGCATTGGCTTTTTTCGTCAAAACATTCCCTTACATCACCAAATGTGTCTCTTACTGTCCTTGGCCTGGTACAGCCCAATACTGTTTTTAGATTTTACGCTTGCACGATACTCGTATCATGCTTGTAATTTCATTTGACTACAGAGCGAAACAATACTCCCCTTTAACATCACCAAATGTCGTCTCCATACTCTACACGTCGGCAAGCCGCTGCTCCACGCCATCCAGTCACAGTGAAGCCGGAGCTAATCCTCATGGTCTCCTCAATGCACCAGGGGATCGCAAGCCTAACCCTAGCCGTCCATTTCCCCATCGGGTTTGCCAGCTATATAGAACCCTTCAAACAATTTCTCTTTTCCTCGAGATTGTCCAGGTTGTTCAACTTCTCATTTTTGTGTGGTACTGTTCCCTATCCATGTTCAAATTGTATAGGTAATTTGTAATTGCAACTCTCTGGGACCGTCAATGGACAGCAGATATTTTAATAGGACTTGTAAAAGCTACAAATACTGTCATAAGAGAGTAACAGCGCTCGTAAGATGGCCTGGCCCACGACGGTTTGACAATTGCAAGCAGTCTCTGACGTGTCTCGGACACTGGAAGCGAAAAAGGCATGGCAGACAGGATGCTCTCAAGGTAGAATTAGGACCATAATGCTAAGCAAACTAAAGGGCGGATAGGAATCACCTGCACGGCATCAGGTAGCGTACAACACAACGGTACAAGCCAAGTACACGACAAGTCACACCTAGTGAAGCAGACTACAGCATCTAGTGATGTCTCTCTGGTTTTATTTCCTATGGACATCGAAAATGCAGACCTTGCCATGCTGAGTTCTTTCCCATCCGGACGCAACACCACAAGAAAAAACGAAGCCCCAAGTCATTCCTTCCCAAACAAACACCTTTTAGATCGTAGTCTCGTAAGGCAAAGGAGTAACAGTCTCAGGAGGGTTGTCGGTCAGAGAGACGGTGCGAGCTTCCCGGGGAAGAGCAGGCAGTCGCTTAACCTGGACGGTAACACCATCGGCAGCGGCCTTCTTCTTGGCCTCGGCGTTGGACTTGACTCGCTTCAGGAAATCCTCACGAGATCGGGAGGGCTGGACGTGCTCGATTCGGACATTGATGCGCTTCTCGATGTATCGGTGCCACACCTTTTTGTAAATGATGACACCAACGGAAGACTTGGTGACGTTGTAGACAACACCAGTCTTGCCGTGGTAGACCTTGTAGGGCATACTATTCACCACATGAATCAGCACCATTTACCTTCCATTGCAAGGCGATCTTCTCTCGAGCTCATTCGTCGTATTCGTAGGTATACCATCCGAAAACCTCTGTGGGACAGGATTTCTTACCCCTTCTGAACGGCACCGTTGACCTTAATGTCAACAATATCGCCAACACTGAATATCCAAAATCAGTCTCTCATAACTTTCATATCCCATCTTCTAGGGCCATTCGACTTCGGGTTTTACGAACCGGTACGTCTTCAGGTACGTGTTCAGGGCGATCATGCCCTTCTGGCGGAAGTTGCGGCTGAAGGCATACTATTTCGACGTTAGTTTTGTCGCAAATCGTGCCTCGAAAGAATTATACGCACGCGGGTGCCCGCTCGCTTTCCGTAAGAGTGACCCATCTCGTCTTATTTGGCGAACAACGGGTTCGTGATCGAGAATTGGCGAAGGTGTACAGATAGAGCCTCCGCTTGTGGGTGCGTCGAATTTGCGGGTGGTTGTGGGAGCGGTAGCTTAGATAATCCGTATTTTTTTTCTCCCGCCTAGGACCAGAACTAGGGCATAATGACTGTGGGAAGTGGGGCCCATGCGATGCGAAATTCTTAGGGTTCAGAAAGCGAGACGCACGTGACCCTGCTAGTCTAGGCGGAAATTTAGCTCCCCACAATGTTGAAAGATTTCATCTCTAGACTTGTGTGTGTGTGCAACTTGTTCCATCCTCAGTCATCACCATAGGAGCAAGTCAAGTAAGTCCTCATGTCGCGAATTGCTTCAATTGCAAATCATTAACAAAACCTCTCAGGATGCCTCCCCGCGCCCACTCGAAGACGTCCCGTGTCCCCCGCAGACCTTTCGAGTCTGCTCGATTGTCAGTACCACCGGCCACTGAACTAGAGCTTGTCTCTGTTTAAGTCGATTGTGAACGAAACTGACGCATATACAACAGGGACTCTGAGTTGAAGCTTGTTGGCGAGTATGGCCTCCGCAACAAGCGTGAGGTCTGGCGAGTCGGTCTGACTCTGTCCAAGATTCGTCGTGCTGCCCGGTATGCCATTCTTGGAATCATAGGAATAACTCATCGCGGGATGTTGCTAACCCCCAAATGTAGTCAGCTTCTTACCCTCGACGAGAAGGACCCTAAGCGTCTCTTCGAAGGCAATGCCCTTATTCGCCGTCTTGTCCGTGTCGGAGTCCTCGACGAGTCTCGCATGAAGCTCGATTATGTGCTTGCTCTTAAGCTCGAGGATTTCTTGGAGCGTCGCCTACAGACTTGTGTCTACAAGTTAGGCCTTGCCAAGTCCATTCACCACGCCCGTGTCCTCATCCGTCAGCGCCATATCCGTGTCGGCAAGCAGATTGTCAACGTTCCTTCTTTCATCGTCCGTCTCGACTCGCAGAAGCACATTGACTTCGCCCTGAACTCGCCATTCGGTAGCGGTCGCCCTGGACGTGTCCGCAGAAAGAAGGCCAAGGCCGCCGAGGGCGGTGCTGATGGCGAGGAGGAGGAAGATGACGAGTAAATGCATTAGCCATGTCCTAATGGATCTCCGACTGGTATGGGGATAATGATTCGGTATCCTGCTTGAGGGAGGGAAAACTCGTCATAGCTTGCGGCGTTGGTAAAAGGATAAAAATTGATTGACTTCCCTACCAATACCAAGAACATTTGATCAGTGCTCTGTAAATGTGTTTTCAAGTTGTGAAACGTGAAATGTTCATGTCACAGGCAGTCTAGTATGATATGTTTAGATATGCCTGTTAAATTGCTTCTGTTGGAGATTTAATATGCGCATCAACCACAGTGTTCAGCATGCCAAGTGTGCCCATTTAAATTATTTGATGTTCAAATCCACGCTTGCTAGCTTAATAATTCGTCTTTGCCCAGCATTTTTGCCATGGGATCATCTGCCGCCGCTCTCTTTCTCCGGTACTCATCTAATTCGGCTTCTGAGATGCCGTTTAGCATTTCTTCCCGGCTGCGTTTCTTCGCCGTTGTTCCTTCTTGGTCCTTCTGGATCGCCTCTTCATCTTCTTTTTCCTCCTTCGGAGCTTCAATCAAATTTGCGCCACTCCTTTGTCGTTCAGCTGCTTCCCAGGCCTCCTTGCCTTCTTCTCCAGTACAGTAGCTGTTTTTTACAAATGAGTGGCAACATGCGTAGCCCCATTTGAAGTTGGACCACCAACTCCCCCAAACAGAAGTATGATTGTTTATCAATACATCCTCTGCATATTTGGATTTGGCAGCCTTTCGCGGCGCTCCCTTGATCAAGCCTGCTTCATCATATTCTACATACGATTCCGACTCGGTGACCATCATACCGCGCAACGCAGCAGGCATGGGTTTTTGGCCATCTCCTCCGTACTTCTCCCTGAGCTGTCTCTCACGCTCTGCGCGCTTTTTCTCTGCTTCTTCTTGCTCCATTTTTCGGTAAAAAGCACCGGCGGTAGGGTTTGCTTGTAAATGTTGTGATGTGTCGCCACTCTTTTCTTGCGCTTCCCAAGCGTATCTTTGGGCTTTCTCGAACTCACTGGCATCACCTGATGATCGCATAAATCCTTCTTCAGCAAAGAGATCTGCAGCTTTGCCACCGGTGGCTCCTCCGTCAACTAATGATCTCGTCTTGGGATCATATTTCGCAGACTCCAAATCGAGATTCAGGAGATATTTGGCCGTATCTTCTCGTATTCTCAGTTGACGAGTCGCTGTGCTCTGATGTTTACTCATGTCGTTTTCCTCGGCATACTTGTCGCCATCCTCGGTAACCTCTTCCCCGTTTTGAGACTTCTGTGACTGCTTTCGGAACTCTTCCATCTGATTAAACTCATCCACCACGCTGCGGTATTCCTTCGAGTCGTATCCGTTCCATCGGTCTCGCTTGGCATCCCACCCTAAGTTGACGGTTTGGATAACTTCATCGGCTTGAATGTCTTTGCCAGTCCACTTGGCACCCTTGGCCCTAGGACGACTGAGGCAATCTTTGGCCTTATGTGTCATCGCGCCGCAGTTTTCGCAAGCGCCTTTTCGATATTTTGTTGCGGCCGGGCCAGACTTTCGCCCTCGATCGTACCATTGCGAAGATTCCTTCTTCTCCTCTCGTCGCTGATGTTTGAGGTAATCATTATCATCTCCTTCTTCTCCCGCATAGAAGGGCCTTTTGCTGATGAAAGACGGGATGTAGATGTTCTCCTCCTTGTTTGCCGCGCCTGTCTCAGGCTTGCGTGGAGGCGCGGGTGGCATCGTGCGGGCGATTGCGTCCAGTAGGACGTTGAATTAGAGAAAAATTCGATGGAGGTAGATAGAAGAGATTTGTTTATACAGGCATGTGCAAGATTATTTGTTTTTCAACCGTGACTTGGGCAGCGTTTCGGGGCTGGCGCATTCACGAGGTTGCATGGGTGTTAAGTACGTGCAATATACGGAGTACAGCCTAAGAGCTGGGAGAACTTCTAGGGTGGGTATTATTCAGCATCCCGCGAAGTACCTCCCTTAACAGAGATGTTCTAAACTCTGATACACGCTCATTTGCACTCACATTCACATAATCGTAACTCAACTTAATAATCATACCCAGAAATCATCCTCTGATAGACTGTACTCTCTTAAGTTATCCTCAAAGTTCTAAAGCACCCTATGAGTTGGTTACCAAGGTATCTAACAAAGTCAGAACTGTTAGTAGTTAACTTTGTCATGTACTTCTGCAGTAGCTAATCAAATGGGCTAGGAGCTAGCCTGGGCTAAAGGTAGCACTTATCAGCACGTGACTACGCGAGACTAGTGCGTCAGACTTGCACCTTCGGCGCGCGCGAGCGCAGACAAATCGTGAACATCGCATGGTGCCTTTTCTCGCAATTTGCTAATCAAATCTTGACACAAGCACAGTAATGTTTCAATTCCGGAATCATAGTTGAACCTAATGGAGTTGCATGCTGCAAAGCATGAATTTGTTTCGGGTCAGATTGAATTGCATCGATCATTACCAGGCGATCCCCACCCGCTATGATCCTCAGCTTCGAAATGACGTTCGTGCATCACAGGTAGCCAAGGGCCCAAAAGTTCCTGTTGTACGCATATTCGGCTCTACAGAAACCGGACAAAAGGTCTGTGCTCATGTTCATGGCGCATTTCCTTATTTATACGTGGAATACGATGGCGACTTGGCGCCTGATGAGGGTGAGATGCTCCATTGAGACGCAAGGGCGCCAACCATGCTGATGGCTTCTTTTAGTTGGAGCATACATCTATCGACTGCATCTCTCAATTGATCATGCCCTGGCTGTAAGCTATAGGCGAGATCAGTATGGGGAAGATGCCAAGTTTGTCGCACGGATCACCTTGGTCAAGGGCATCCCGTTCTACGGCTTTCATGTCGGCTACCGGTTTTTCCTCAAGATATACATGTTCAACCCAATCGTGATGACAAGGTTAGCGGATTTGCTACAGCAGGGGGTAATTATGAAGCGGAAATTTCAACCCTACGAAGCTCACTTGCAGTATCTGCTTCAGTTCATGGTTGATTACAATTTGTATGGGTGTGGTTACCTGGAGTCGTCCAAGACCGCGTTTCGGTCTCCTATCCCTGCATATGACGCTGGATCCAACTCCTCACACCTGTGGCATAGTCAATCAGTGCTTCCTCAACATATCACAGATGATCCTTCCTTGCCACGAGTTAGCCATTGCTCCATCGAAGTAGATATTTGTGTGCAACACATCGTCAATCGCCAGGCAGTGAAGGAGCGACAACTACATCATGACTTCATCGAGCGAAATTCTCCCATACCGGCAGATTTAAAGCTTGTGTTCAGCTTGGCAGGACTCTGGAGAGATGAGACCAAACGGCGACAACGTCAAATGCCGCGTGGCAAGCAAGGACTCAGCCCCTTCCCCCCTGATGTTTTGGTGAGTATGTCTGCCGATGCTAGACAGTCACGACCACAGGGCTGGATTCACGAGGAGGAATATATGCGACAAATTACCCAGCTGGTCAACGCAGAACTTGCTGGATTCGACGACCAGCATCCCAAGTTCGAAGATTTTGTGGAACCAGCGGACCCAGACGGGGAGGTTCATACAGCTCTGCAGTCTGTTGAAGATTTATTTCCAAGCAATCTTATTTCTGCTCTCGGCCTTTCATCAAACGCGGCGCAATCAACGGGGGAGCCACCCGCAAGCAGCATTGAAGTAGACGAGAAAAAAATCCTTCAGGAACTCAACCCTGGAGATGAGTTTTTCCCGGATGATTCCGACGAAGAGAGGCTTAGAGAAATGACCCGGGCAGAACATAGTGCTGAGAATGACATGGGACAAGAGGCTGCCGCTGCTGTGACAGAAATTATCTCAGCCAATAGGGGGAGCTCGTCGACGAGAATTAAGCCACTGCAGCCATCATCACATCTCATGCCCGGCGTATGTCTCAGTGTACTTTCAACCGGATCACTTCCCGCCGTCCCCATTTCACAAGAGCTCCTCGACGCTGCCGAAGATGAAGGACTGGTCGGAAGAGTTCCAAAACCGAAGGCCTTGCGATCTCAAAAACTGATGGCCCGCAAACGTCAGGGGCCAGTGGCGTCGCCCACAGGTAGCCCACAGAAGCGACTGAAATCCTACAAAGCCGCACCACCGTCTTCAGTCCAGCAGATTGTAGCTGACTCCTCGTCTTCCCCTAAGCCGAGCGGCTTTAGATCCGTAAACCAACGCCACTCTACTTTTTCAGCTCCTAGAGATGGATGTAGCCCATCCAGCAGCGATCCCCTCGCCACCTCAAACCGAACGCTGAATTACGCCATTACCAAAGAACAGAGTGGTGAAAGTTCAAAAGTGCGGTTCAGCCAGCGAAGCCAGATATCACCTATTAAGCAGAATGATGGCAGCAAACTGACCAAAACCATGTCTTGTCATCAGAGTGTGGATGATCTGTTAGAGAAAACAGGCAACTCCCAGTTCGACGTGCCTTCGCCTAACCTTTCGTCCAGCCTTTCAGAGCACGACAATGAAAGGACAAAGATACAAAGGGCCGTTGCGAAGGTAGTTGACAACAGGTTCATGATATACTCATACATGCCACCAACTGCTAGCCAATGTTCAGCTGTAAAAGACCCTGAGCTGCCTGATGTTATCTATCAAGATGCATTTTATAGTAGAGAGTCCGATGTTCCAGAGCGCAACCGTGAGTATGCCGGCCGAGAATATCGGTTGGAGAGCAATACTGTACCATTTCTTCCTGATTTTGACGCCGATGGTGTCTCTCCTGCTAGCTATGGGATCAAAACAGACAATTGTCAAGTGCAACAAGCTCTTGAACAAGAACAGGCATTACAGCGTCGCCACTGCAATTGGCAAAGCTGGGAGTACGCTCAATTGCCCCCGTCTCACCAGGAAGTAGTACACTGGCTAAATACGCGGAAGCGGCAGAAGGAAGCTGACAAAAAAGCACCTCGGCATGTATTCCCCTCATCAAGGGCTTGGTTGTCTCAGATCGATGGCCCAACACAGAAAAACAAGCATGGATTCAAGTACACA